ATTAACCAGTGGAACAGCTTGCCTTTAGACGACATGGATGCTTCATCACTGAAGGTTTTTAAGAAGAGACTAGACAGTCACTTATCTGAAATGGTATAGGATCTCCTGCTTGAGCAGGGCCCTCCAAGATCCCTTCCAGCTCTGTTCTGATTCTGATTTACCAACTATTATCAAGATTCATAATTAGCAAATTAGTGTGTTTAATATTCCTATTTATGTATTTATAAAATACTAATTTTCTCAGAATATCATCAGATATACAGAACTGAGAGTCCATATCTCATCTCAATGAACCAAGTAAATTTCAGAAAGAAATGAACCAGAACCTCAGATAAGCAGTTTGAAAAGCCTACTATTCTATCTCACTAAGTGTTGATTTAATTGTTGTCGGGACAGAGCAAAGCTGGAGGCAATTGGTGATGGATAACTAATTGCATGTTTTGTTACACACCATGTGGCTAATAACACATTAGTAACCTTTTGGAAAGAAACTGACTACTAATGTAGACTACTATTAGTCTTTGTCACCATAATTATAAACTTCAGTCTTATTTCTCCGTGGTCCAGATGAACTTAATTAAAGTTGCACATGTTGTATATAGGGCATAAAAGAGTATCTTTCTAATGCTAATAGCCATATGGTAATAGCTAGGTAGTAAATAAAATCTTGACTATTAAAATATCAATTAACATAAAATCATAGAACCAAGCAAAATAAGAAGTATTTTTTCTGCTCTAGAATACAATTAATTGCTTGGCTATTGTGAAATTACATAGTATGAATTGATTGCCTTTCAAAGACACACTATATTCTATATGCTAATGGTTGAATAATCATAGAAAAAGTAAAGGACAAGAGGCAAGTCTGAAACCCAAACAACAAAATGAGAAGTTCCAACTAAAGACTGTATTCAAACTGAACCCAGTTAAGAACAAATAATGAACTTGACCAATGGTGACATGTCATGCATGGGGGGGGGGGGGACTGAAAACAATGTCTGTGCAGTCCAAGCCAGATCAATCCAATCTGACTACAGCTGAGCATTTAATTTCATATCCACTCCCTGGAAGAAAGTGTGCAGACATCTGAAGAAGAGATATCAAGTGAATTGGTGATAAGAAGAAAATTAGAGACCAAAGTTCCCCAAAGAAAAAATAGGCATGTGTAGCTGACAGAAGACTCACTTCTCAGAGGATTGGAATCAGCAACTTGTAGACTGGATAATCAATCTAGGGAAGTATACTGTCTCCCAGAAACAAAGATCAAAGATATGATGAATGATTTACTACAATAATTAATTATTAATTATCATTTCTTCCTCTTTTATGTGGGGATGAATGATACAACAAGGAGCCTGAAAACAATATCAAGCAATTATGAGCAGCTAGGTATGAAAGCTAAAGAGCAAGGAGCATAAATGGTGTTTTCATTTGTTCTTCCAATGGAAGGTCAACATCCAATAAGGGAATGGAGAATTTTAGAAGTAAACCTCTATCTTAAGGAATAGTGCCATTGAGAGAATTTTGGATTCCTAGACCATGATCTACATCACAGCTTTTCAACCTTTTCACAGATTGTACCACTTTTGGGACATGACAATATTTGAGTACCACCAGTGCTTAGCAAAGTGTCCAAAATTTGATGACTAAAAAGGGGGGGGGGTTACTGATTAGATTCATTTGTTGTTATAGAAATAACTAGTTTATAATATTATGGAAAAGTAAAAAGCTGAGGTTCAATGTTAATGCTTCTTTCTATAGCAACAGAGGAAGCCTGTTCTTTTTCCCTTCTCCCCCTCACTTTCCCCCCTTTTCCTCCCCACTGTGTCCTACTATTTGCATTTGTATTTTTGTATTTTATTCTATAATCTAATACAATATTACTAACTGTAGGAAAAAAAGGAAAAAAGTACCAGTTTTAATTTCTTTGGTGGCTGTTCCTTTGCTGAATCACATTCCCTTTGCACTGATAAATGTATGATGAATTAATCCATGTTTATTAATATGCTAGCCCAAGGATCTTCAAACTTGGCACTTTTATGACTTGTAGTCTTCACTCCCAGAATTCCTCAGCCATCATGGCTGGATGAGGAATTCTGGGAGTTGAAGTTGCTAAGTTTGTAGACCCCTGAGCTAGCTGGTCAGCCATTCTTCCTCTCTCCCTTCTGATCCCTTTGCACAGTGTAGTAAGAATGCATACAATCCCCTCCAATTCCTTTCCTATACGCTTAAAGACACAGGAATCAAGTGCAAACAAGAAAGGCTCACAAAATAAAGAAACACATCTTTAAGCTGCCTCAGGCGTATCACATGTCACAATGTTGCAACTCGAGAATGAAAGGCTTCACCAATGCGAAAAGCTTTAGTCTTAAATTAAGCCTGTTTATCTTCAAAGAAAACTTTCTAAAAGCCATAGACAGACTCAAGATAAAGGGGTAAAACTGATTACATTTGTTTAGAGAGATTAAACCTACAGAATTCAACACTTTGGACTCATTGCTAGCCTAAAATACAGACTAAAATATTCCAGTAACCAAAGCACACAAACCAAGCCTCTGAATTACAAAATGCTGTAAAAACTGCACAAAAATCCTTATGGTAACCCAAACTAAATAAACCCACCTCCTTTCTGACATGCTGGCTTTTTATTTCTTCAGCACTGATTGCATTCTTCTGGCTGGAGAAAATGAACCAGAGGACCTTTTCTTTCAACAACAGCTGCTGCTTCTTCCCTGTTCCTGTTTCCTCCCTGCTTGCTGAGCTCTCCTTCTCTTTCCCTGTTGTCTTTTTTCCCTTTCCCACCCAAACCACTTCCTTTTATAGCCTCTCCTCTCCTCCCCCTCCCTTTTTCTTCAGTTCACCTCCAGCTCTGCACTGCTTCTGGAAGCACCAATCAACTGGAGCCAATCTCCTGGAGCTTCTGCTAAGCCTAGACAGTCCTGCAGTTGCAGCTGCCTCTCCCTCAAGCTTGCATCGCTTCGGTTCATTCCCCTCCCCCCCTTATACTTGGCTAGCAGTCACATACCACCCCACCTGCCCCATGGCAAAGTACCACAGATGGTATGCGTACCACCAGTTGAAAAGCCCGGATCTACATAACCTACATGAAGGGTTTCTAGCAGAATATAAGCCAGACTTCACAAGAATCAGGAAAAATGTGTTTGGAAAATAATTCTCTTGGCTTATCTGAAAAACTTTAAACTAAAACTGGAAAGAAAGGAAAATCCAATTTTAGGACCCAGTTCCAAGTATAAACCTCAAAATATTGTAAACAATGAGATAAAGAATGTTGGGAAGGAAGAGGAATACAGACATAAAAAAGGAAATATAGAAAGCATACACAAGGTCAGTCAAAAGGATTCAGATATCTTATACACTAATGCTAAAAGTATGAGGAACAAACAGGGCAAACCTGAAGACCTAATACATGACAGCAAGTATGACATTCTTATCATTACTGAGACTTGGTGGAATGCAACCCATGACTGGAACGTACTGCTAGAATAATTTAAATTGTTCAAAAGTAACATACTTAACAAAAGAGGAGAGGGAGTTGCATTATATGTAAGAAATAACTACACCTCTAGAAATTCAAAAAACCAAGGATAAAAATCTTGAATGCATTTGAATTAAGATAAAAGGAAAAAGGAACAACATTGTCATAGGTATATGCTATAGGCCACTCAACCAAATAGAGGAAATAAATGAACTTTTTGCTAATCAATTAGCTAAGTTTGTCTCCCAGTTAATGTCAGGGTAGTTAAAGTCCCTCATTACTACTGTGGTATATTTCTGCATGAAACATACCACAGTAGTAATGAGGGACTTTAACTACCCTGACATTAATTGGGAGACAAACTGTGCATCAGTTGGGAGATTAAATAAGTTTCTGACAAAGCTAGCAGATAACTTTGTCATCCAAAAGGTAGAAGAGGAAATCAGAGCTGTACTGGACTTAATTCTTACAAATAGGGATGAAAAGATAGAGGAAGCTGAAGTTGCAGGAACTTTAGGGAGAGTGACCAGGTCATATTGGAATTCAGTATATGGGAATGTCTAGTTTAATTAAATATGGATGACATGATAGCAGTGTTCCACTATTTGACGGGCAGTCACAAAGAAGAGGGAGCTAACCTATTCTCCAAAACACCTGAAGGCAGGACAAGAGGCAGTGGGTGGAAACTTATCAAAGAGAAATTCAACCTAGAATTAAGGAGAAACATCCTGACAATGAAAACAATTAACCAGTGGAATGACTTGACTTCATAAGTTGTAGATGCTGCAACAATGGAGATTTTAAAGAAGAGATTGGGCAATGATTTGTCTGACATAGTATAGGGCATGGGTGTTAAACTCACTGTATCACATGATGTGTCACAATGTATTGCAATTTCTTTTGCATTGCCAGAGCTGGGGTGGGTGCGGCCTCCATATGATGCAACTGGCCCACGGGCCAGCAGTTTGACACCCCTGGTATAAGAACTCCTGCTTGAGCAGAGGGTTGAACAAGAAGACCTCCAAGGTCCCGTCCAATGCTGTTATTTTTCTAGATAAACATCTTTCAGAAAGTTCAAGGCTTAGAAAATAATCTTTCTAACGCTATTTAAAAAATTGAACAAATATTTGTGTGGCTGCTTTAGATTCTGTTTTTTGAGCGCAGATTCTTCATTTTAATTATGCTTTTATATAACTGCAGATAAGCTGAGGCTAAAACATCATTTGGTGGAATCCACCACAGTCTAGCATACTTTTCAAATATCTTGACAATATGCTACTTATTGTTCAAAAGGGAAACTAGGAGTGCAAACTTGAAAATTCAGTGACAGTGCAATTAAGTACCTCTCTCAAAAATGATGTTCAAGTGAGAGAAATCAAACAGAAACAATAGGGAAATATTATGAATCATGTTAACTCTTATTGTCTTACATGACTTCCTTATGCAGAAACTGAGCCAAGATTATTTATATTGAAAATTAAATTATTATTTAATGGCACTTTACCAGATTCATCATGATCATGCTTCAAGTAAACAGGATCTATTTTAAAGGCACATGTTAAATCCGATCTCTTCTTCACCCTACACAGATATTGAATATAGATGGTCACTGCTTTACTTAAAAGTTTACCTATTTCTATGAAAAATTAGTATAAATCAATACAGATTAATAAATGGAGAAGTGTTAACTGGCAATTAAACTTTAATCTTTCCAACTCTACAATTCTATGAAATAAAAAGAACTGACTGCAAAGATTAATGAATTCATCAGTATTTAAGTCATATAAATGTACAAGCTCCTTCTCTGATAAATATTGAATTTAACAAATCTAAATAAGACATTACATCCTAACCATTAGCAAATGCTTTGTAATATACATTTTGTTTGCTTTCCTTTCTGGTACAGTCTGGGGATAGAGTAAGATACCATACAGAATCTGGATTAACACAGTGGGTGAGGAATTTCTGCCAAAAATTGTAATTCTGTTTGTATAAGGCATTTTTTGGCTTATCACGAATGAGCCAGAATGAAATGCATATGGTCTCATGTTGCCTTGATTCCTTATCAACAAAGTGTGGAAATTCTTTTTTCCATCATAATGTGGGAACTAACCCTCTGGCTTGCTTTTTTAAGAAAAATGAATCTGAATTCATGCAATTCCTTCTTAAGAAGAGGCAACTTATATACACACATTCAGTTCCTTAGAAGTATACTGAAGGAAGTGAGGGCCATAAAACCCCTTTGTTCACCCCCTTCTCTCCCTCTTATGGCAGAATCCAGAGAAGGCAGAATTGGGGGTTTCTATATTTGATAACTAAAGCTGAAATATAATTGGATTACATTGAATGACAAGCAGCTTATTTTAAAGTTTGTCGAGTCACTTTTGGCCTAAGGAACCAAGCAGAAGCAATCAGTTGATATGATCAGTAGACTAAACTAGAGTAATGGCACACAGATACTCCAGTTAAGTCTTCCTTCTACCACATTCCTTTAGAGAGAAATGTCATGTGATACCACTGTTAATAATTATAGTATTTCCTACTTACCACATTGTAGAACAATCAAAGTTGACCAGGAGCCACTTATGAGGGTTGAAGTTGAATGAATCTGCATACTACAAAAAAAGAAAACAGACCAACTATTATAGGATAAGTGCCCTGAAATAGTTTCCAGAAAATCATTCTTTAAAATGCGACAAATATTGGTATGTTCAAAGACCTCTTTGAATTTCCAATTCAACCCACCTCAGAGGGTGCTATTGTGGGGAAAATAGATGGAGGAAGGATTATTAGGGTATGTTCACCAATTTAAATTATGCACAAAAAATAATGAAGACCATAGTAATGGTCTGCATTACTACATAAAGAGTATGTGCATTATCTACATGAATGGTCTGTATTACCTACATGGTCTGCATTACCTATATGAAAGGCTTATGGCAAGGGATGGGCTGCATGTCACAAGAACCAGGAAGAATGTATTCGGAAAATGACTGATTCAACTTATTAGAAAGTTGAAAGTAAAGTTTAAACTAAAACTGAGGGGGGGAGGTAATCAATCCTTAGGATCTTTGGGACCTATTTCCAGCATAAACCCCAAGACAACCAATCAAACAATGAGGTAAGGAGTGATGGGAAGGAAGAAAAACTCAGATATAAAGTAGGAGATACAGAAAGCATACCCAGGGTCAACTATAAAGGACTCAAAATGCCTATGCACAAAAGCTCAAAGTTTGGGGAACTAACAAGGTGAACATCAAGTAGTAGTAGTACATGTGGGCAAGTATGATATAGTTGTCATTACCAAAATTTGCTGGGATGAAACCCCTGACCTAAATGGAAGGATACAAACTATTCAAAAGAAACAGACCTAATAAAAGAGGAAGTGGAATTGCATTATATGTAAGAGATAACTACATCTCTACCAAATTGCAGAAAAAGAAGAATCAAAGCCTCCTAGAATGCATATAGGTCAATATAAAAGAAAAAAATGACATAGATATATATTACAGGCCACTCAACCAAGCAGAAGAAATACATTAGATACAGTAGACATTTTTAACTAATTAAAAATGTATGTATGAAACACATATAGCAATGGGAAACTTTAACTATTCTGACATCAACTGGGAGACAAACACTGCATGAAATGAGAGCTTAAACAGGTTCCTGACCAACCTAGCTGACATTTTTTTGTCATCCAAAAGATAGAGGAGAGTACTAGAGGATATACAGGACTTAATTCTTACTAACAGAGAAGAAGTGATGGGGGGAGGGGGTTGAAATTGCCAGAACTTTGGGAGAGAGTGATCATGTCATATTGGAATTCAATATAATGCAAACACAAATAATAGAACATAATAAAACCAGTGTCTTAAACTTTAAAAGACCTGATTTAAACAAACTTAGAACTTGGGAAGAATTCCATGGATGAAAACTTTAAAAAGGAAAACAATTCAAGAAGCCTAGGAAACTGAAAAATATTATTATAAAAGTCCAGTCCAGCTCAAACTACTGAAAATAAAAAACAAGAAATCCAAGAAGAAACCAGCCTGGTTACAAAAAGAACTCTCTGACAATGTAAGGACCCACTTCAATCCCACATCTTAAGAAAGCAGAACTCTTGGAAACAATTTCATCCAACAGGAACTTTTATTAAGAGTAGTTGATAGCAGGCATAATAGACAGGATCTGAGGGATTCTTTACAGCTCAATACTTTAAAGCAGCGGTTTTCAACCTGTAGGTTGTGACCCTTTTGGGGGTCACACAAGCCTTTCACAGGGTCTTAGGCAGGGCTTGTCAACTGCTTTCTCTCCCTCCCCCCCTCCGCTCCACCTCACTTGTTTATGGAAAATATGCTGCTTGGTGGCAGTCTGCACGAACTCTACCAAATGTGCCCTGCAGGGGGCGCATGAAGAGCACAGACGCAGAGCAAGGCCCCGCCCTCCCCAGAGACTCATTGTGCAGCAACCGGACTGACTTCTTCTCATGCACGCAGGTCAGCGAAGGGGAGGCTGCTGCAGCACCCAACTCCTGCGCCCGTCAGCTGGCGATCCCCAAACTTGAGCCAGCTGATGCAAGAGGGAGGGAAGGAGGAAGGGACTCTTCATCCTCTCCTAAGCTTCAAAGCATGATCGGCTTCCCAAGGGCACCACAATCCTCACGAAAGCGGGGGAGGGGGAGAAACAAAGGGGGCGAGAAAGCTCACCGCGGGCTCAAAGCAGCACCTGCCAGCATTGGTGACAAGAAATTCCCCACAAACCCAGGGAAGGGGTGGAGAAAAGGAGCCCCCTTTGGGAGGAAACCGCACCTTCTTCTCCTTGGCTTTGCACTCTTCTGTTTCTCGGCAGCCAGGCTGGCAAGCCTCTCCTGGCTGGAACTTCCTTTCCTTCCCTCCCTCTTGGTCTCTTCCTCCTTCCCTCCCTCTCCTATTGTCCCTTCCTTCCTTCCTTCCTTCCTTCCTTCCTTCCTTCCTTCCTTCCTTTCCTTCCCCTTCCTCTTTGTCCCTCCTTCTCTCCTTCTCCCCCTTGTCCCTCCCTCCCTCCCTCCCTCCCTTCCTTCCTTCCTTCCTTCCTTCCTTTCTTCCTTCCTTCGCTCTTGTCCAGGTTTGGGGTGAGCCTCTACAGCTGATCCGTGCTTCTGTAGCTGTAGCTGCTCTCCTTGTCTCCTGCCCAGCAAACTTGCTTGCTAGAAAACATGCGCTTGCTAATTTAGCAGAAGCATGAATCAGCTGTAGCCCGGAGCTAATCCTGGAGCTTCTGCTAACTTAGCAAGTGGCATGCCTTTTGGCAAAGCTGAGCAAGTGAACTGGGTGGAGCTCTCCTGTCTCTGCCTGTGCAAAGGAAGGTTTGCCGGCAGCAAAGCCCCCAGCCACGCTGGCAGCCTATCCCACTCCCCTTGTTCCTTCCTGGGCATGGGGGGGGGAGGAAGGAAGGGACGAAGAGGGAGAGAAGTAAGGAACAATGAGAGAGGGAAGGAAGGGAGGAACAATGGAAGGGAGGAAGGGACAAAGAGGGAAGGAAGGAAAGAAGGAAAGAAGGAATGAAGGGACAATGGGAGAGAGGGAGGGAAGGAGGAAGAGACTAAGAGGGAGAGAAGGAAAGGAAAGGAAGGAAAGGAAGGGACAATGGGAGAGAGGGAGGGAAGGAGGAAGAGACTAAGAAGGAGGTGAAGAAAAGGAAGGAAAGAAGGAAGGGACAATGGGAGAGAGGGAGGGAAGGAGGAAGAGACTAAGGGAGGGGAAGGAAAGGAAGGAAAGGACAATGGGAGAGGGTGGGAAGAAGGAAGAGACTAAGAAGGAGGTGAAGGAAAGGAAGGAAAGAAGGAAGGAAGGGACAATAGAGAGAGGGAGGGAAGGAGGAAGAGACTAAGAGGGAGAGGAAGGAAAGGAAGGAAAGGACAATGGGAGAGAGGGAGGAAAGGAGGAAGAGACAAAGCAGGAGGCGAAGGAAAGGAAGGAAGGAAGGGACAATGGGAGAGAGGGAGGGAAGGAGGAAGAGACTAAGGGAGGGGAAAGAAAGGAAGGAAGGAAAGAAGGAAGGGACAATGGGAGAGGGAGGGAAGGAGGAAGAGACTAAGAGGGAGGTGAAGGAAAAGAAGAAAAGAAGGAAGGAAGGGACAAGGGGAGAGAAGGAAGGGAAGGAAGGCAGGCACACACCCCAGTCCCATCCAAGAGACCCACAGATTCCCCCCCCACAGGCACTCTGCAACCTGAGTGATCAGCTGGCCACGCCCCCTGGCCATTGATCATGTGACCCTTGGACACTGTGAACGTCATAAGTATGAATCAGTTGTCAAGCATCCGAATGTAAATCACATGACCCTGGGGATGCTGCAACAATCATAAGTGTGAAAAATTATCATAATTCGCTTTTTCAGTGCTGTTGTAACTTCAAACAGTCACCAAGTGAATTGTTGTAAGTCGAGGACTACCTATACTTTCCCATTTTTTCCTTTTTTTGTCAAGTTTTTGATACCCCCTGCCAGCTGGATGGGGGGTTGGGGGTCACCACAACTTGAGGAACTGTATTAAAAGGTCACGGCATTAGGAAGGTTGAGAACCACTGCTTTAAAGGATCCCTAAGCATACCCCACCCCACAGTTCATCCGGATGCTTCAGACTGCCCAATCCCCAGGTGTTAAGTCCATTGTGGGAAAGGGAAGATAATATCATTCTGGCTCTCTTTGTAGCACAATGTTTCACAGCTCTTCACACCTCCTTTTGAGATCAGAGAAATAAGCCAGGTTTTGGATGTTTATATTTCCCCCCCCCCTTCCTAACTGCCAGGTTAGGGAGAAGAAAGTTCAGAGGGATGCATAGTGCAGAAGGCAATTTGTTACATTGTAATGGACAGCAGACCCAGAGGCAATAAGCAAAAGATTACATTGTAGTAAATAGAGGAAGTGAAAGTCATAACCCCGCAGGCATATCCTCCCCCTTTGGCAGTAGGGCAGAATCCAGGGGAAAGTGAGATTTGTTTTTAGATCAAAGGAGATAGATAGAAATGAAATATGAATGGATTCTGACATCCTGCCCCCCTTAAAAATAAGAGAGATCCACCTGTAGAGAAACAAAACAGGTATAGAGGTTAGTCTGGTTTGTTGAGATATTCTGTATGAAACTTCTTTAGCAGTTTCAGTGCTCTGACATGACATTTATGGACCCACTCGCTTTGTGAGGAGGGAAGGTGTTTCCATGCTACTAGGCATTGAGTTGCCCCATGATATTCCTAGAATGTACGATTTCTTTTATCTCGAAGTGTTGTTCTCCTTCAACCATGATTGGGGGTGATGGGGGGGATTTTTGGCCGTAAGGGCAACTGTTGTTCTCTTTTCAGAAAGCGGCAGTGAAAAATTGGGTATATTTGCTTGAGGTTTTTGGGTAGTTCTAATTCTACTGTTACTGGGTTTATGATTCTTTTAATTGGAAAAAGTCCTATATATTTTGGGCCAAGTTTTTTACAGGGCTTTTTTACAGGGATTTTAGGTATTTTGTAGACAAATATACCATTTCTCCTACAACGAATGGTATGGGTTCGACTCTCTTTTTATCTGCTTGTACTTTGTATGCTTGCCTAGCTTCATCTAAGGCTTTCCTAACTATTGGCCAGGTGT